TCTCTCCCCCCTCCTCCCTCTTTCCTGCCTCCTGTTCCCCCCTTCCTCTGTCTCTAAAAGTCAATAAATAGAAAAAAAAATTTTAAGTATGTAGTTTAGCTTTAGAGAATGGTAGTTTTCTCATAGGATTGTAGAGTTGTCTATACTGAGGTTACAGGTTAGGGCACCAAGGCCTAGAATTTCATTGCTGAGGACCATAGCTACTAATGGCAAAGCTGGTTCTAAAACCTAGCTCTTGTGACTTTGTCCAGTGGTTGCCTGTTTATTCTGTCATGCTGCCTTCCCTTTGAGCCTCTGCCCTCCCAAAGGGAGGGGAGAATGGCAGGGAACTGGTACCCTGCTCCACCTATAAGTAGTGATGCAGCAGGGAAAGCTTTGGCTTCTCCCTTTCTTCCTCCAAAACACTGAAAATCTTTTTGGCTGTCAAAAAACACCCCTTGTCCCGCACAGACCTGATGATCAGTCAAGATTTCCAGTAAATACCCTCTAGAACAGCAGTCGCCAATCAGTGGTCCACAGACCACTGGTGGTCGTGAGGTCTGAAAGGTTGGCGACTGCTGCTTTAGAAAGATGGCTGTTAGGAAGTAGGGAAAGGAGAGAATCCTGACCTAAGGGGGCTCATGTTTTATGAAGTAACTGAAATGTTCTAAATTTTTATTAATAACCTGTCAAATAATTGTTTTATATAGTTATTTACCGACTTGTAGGGGCTGATGTACAAGAAAAGTTTTTCCTTAAAACATTTCTAAAGGAAAATTTTGCCTATTAATTTTCTAGATTGTGTTAGTATAGTAGGATAGATATTGTTAATGCAGATATTGATTGTAACTGAACTAAAGAAGACAAATACTTTGTCATTTTGAAAAATGAGCTTCATTTTCTTCTAGTCTAATGGATGGGATCCCAATGATATGTTTCGATATAATGAAGAACATTATGGTGTAGTGTCTACATATGATAGCAGTTTATCTTCATATACGTAAGTTTAAAAAGTTTGCTTTTACTTTAATGCATTTGTCTTTGGTTATCAATTTAAATTATGATGTTGAATAAATTCTGTTGCTTTTAAATTAAACAATTCTGTGAAAGCATTATCTATTACTCCCTAAGCTGATAAATTCCCAATAAAACAGGGAATACACATAGTTTACATATACTCTAAATGTATGCTCTATAAACATTTTATAAACTAAATTAGCAAGTCTAGTAGTTATGGGGGAATAATCAATTTAACTGGTTTTGGAAATGTTATATTCCTTTAGGGAAAAGATAACATAATTCAAGTTTTGATTTCCAGTAAATATATCACCGTAACTCTCTTACGGTTTTACCAGAATTTCAGACTCTAAACTCCCTTAATAGTTGGTTGTGACAGTTATATAAACTATGACTTTACTCACTTTGCTTTTTGTTTTCCTCATGTTTCAGGGTGCCCTTAGAAAGGGATAATTCAGAAGAATTTTTAAAACGAGAAGCAAGAGCAAACCAATTAGCAGAAGAAATTGAATCAAGTGCCCAGTACAAAGCCCGGGTAGCCCTGGAAAATGATGATAGGAGTGAAGAAGAAAAATACACAGCAGTTCAGAGAAATTCCAGTGAACGTGAGAGTCACAGCATAAACACTAGGTATTTAAAGGAAATCATGATGCAGTATTTTGGATACACCATTCAAGGTCTGTGTGAGAAGGTGTATTATTATTATTATATTTCATCTTCCTTTAATGTAGCTTAGGTAGGAAATGCAAATGGAATTGCTTAAGGTTCTATTAGAGAAAAGATTATAGAAATCTTAGAAAGTATTTTTAGAACATCAGCTTTCTGTTGTCAAGTGTTGGATATACAGCGATGAGTAAGCCGAGGTCTGAAAGAGCTCATTTAGATGAGCGGTGTGTTCAAAGTACTAGGGACGTTCAGAGTGAGGAGGAACTAGCATAGCCTGTAGGGTCAGAGGGGGTGACATTTTGTGATAGCATAATAGATCTGTTGGCCACTCAGAGAAATAGAAGAATTCCTCACATGGTGAAAAGATATGTGGAAGAACCCCGCCACATATCTGAGGAAAAGGCCAGTTGTTTTATGTGTGTAGGATACAGGGTGAGTGTTGAGAGTGCAGGGGTGGCCACTGGTGATAGGAACTGAGGTAGTGAAGGGCTTCACATGTCACATTAAAAGAGCACCTTGCAGGCAGGGGATGATGTGAAGGAACTCTGGGACATTGAGAACTGACTGAACCATGGAGACCAGTTAGTGTTGCAGTAGTTCAAGTGTAAGAACTTGGTAACCAACTAGACCAGGGCTAGCAATAGAAAGGTTAGAAAAACCAGGGGTGACTGAGGTTTATTTGATAACTAAGTGGGCTGGTGGTTGTACTGGTAATGGAGACAGAAAACATGGAGCAGGTTTGAGGGGAGATATAATGAGTCTGTCTGCCGTTTATTGCATTTGAGGGCTTCACGGATCTTCCATTCATCTATTCACACGTGTTGAAAAGCACCTGCTATATATTTGGCAGCATAAGCTATGCATTCTGTTTCACCACACTCCTAGCTGAGAGTCTGGTGATTTGAATGAAAGTGTACAGTGGGAGATGCTGAGACTGGGACTGGCAGGGGAACTTGGGATTCATCAGCATTGTTGATATTAAAGTCATGAAAAACCTTGAGTAGGCACAGAGAGAAGAGATCTCAGAAAACAAAGAGAAAGCCAAGGAAGAACAAAGTTTCAGGAAGGTAGACTATGCTTAATAGAGTCAGCCATGAAGAGGCAGAGTAGATTAGAATGAACACACGTCTGTTAAACTTTGCTGAGGAGGGAGAATCTGAGGGAAATGAAAGGCGGGAGCTAGAACTCAGAGTAAATTGGAAGCAAAGGGTTTCTGGGAGTGGGGTTTAGTGTTTAACCTTTTTATAAGAAGAATTCTCTTCTGCCTAAATTACTTTTAGGTTTGTTTTATTGGCCTGGTTCCTATTAGGATAAAGTCATTTAGAGGATCTCTCATTTTCAGGGAAAATAAATATATTCCTCCTGGACAAAGAAATAGAGAAGTCATGTCCTGGGGAAGTGGGCGACAGAATTCACCGCGTGTGGGCCAGCCTGGACCGGGCTCCATGGCATCAAGATCCACTTCTCACACATCAGATTTCAACCCGAATTCTGGTTCAGACCAAAGAGTAGTTAATGGAGGCAAGTATTTTGACCAAATTTGTCAATGTTATTGATCAAATATATCGCTTTCTAAATAATTACAAGTTTACATAATGATAAGAATGTGCACACCTTAATTTTTGTGGAGTTGTTTTCACTTTAAAAAATTATTTAAATTTACCTTTGTGGATATCAAATTAGTAAAGTTAGTATAAGTAATTAGAATACATTTAGCATAATGAGAAATACTCACGTATTAAGATAAAGTGCTAAATTTAACCAAAGACATTCACTTGGCAAAAACAAAAAACAAACAAAAAACACTCCACATATAAAGAAATTGGAAACTTTGGATAGGTTCTCAATTTTAAAAACACTGAATGATAAAGTTATTTACACAAAATTTAAATGGAAAATCCTATTCTGTGTGAAACACTCAGTGGTTAATATAGATTCATTTTCACTTACTGTTTGCTTATATATTTATATTCTGCTTATTTCAAGAAAAGATTTGAGGTGACTTGACAAGACATGACCAACAGTCATGTGAAGAAGGTGACGAATGAAATGTGCTTTGAAACAACCAAAACAACTTTTAGTGTAAAGATGGCTATTGTAGTTTAGCTTAAGTAAAAGAAACTTGCATCTTTAGTAGGAAGAGATACTTCTACTCTACCTCTAAGTCTAGATTGAATATAGCTCATAGGTCATGGATCTTTAATATAAGTCTGGTATACTAGACAGTACCGTAGACAGTATGGAAATATAGTAATTAATACTTAAGGGGGAAAGTGGGCAATCCATTTTAGGTATCTAAGTTTGGAAAGTTAGGAGGAAAAATAGAGAACACTAAGTTTCCAATTTCATTTTATTGAGTCTTTCTCCAGAATTCCTCTCCAAATGAACACTCTTGAGTATTTTGTATACTTAGTATTGGGGGTGAAATTTCTTTGCTCACTGAGTAAAGAATTTCAGTTGTTCATGAACAGAATTTCCAAAGTAAAAAACCTGAAGGGGCTGGGAAATGTATGATACTCAAGTGTGTGGCAGCCTGTGGAGAGGAGACCTGGACTGTTTGCTAAGATGAAGGTAAGTGATATGCTATGTTTACATGTTAGCTGTATTTTGACCTGTGCATATCCATCAGTGTCAGTTATTTGGTAATGACTGCTCTGTAGTTGTATTGTTCATTAAGCAGTTTCTTAGATGAGTTAATTATCTTTAGATAAGTAAAGCTGCATAATTATACAGAAGGTCCCCCTTTTCCTTATTTGATAAGATTAAAATGTTTTTTGAGAAGGCAATGAATGTTAACCTTTGTCACCCCCATGACTGTAGAAAATAGTGGAAGTAATGTTTTATTTCTACTTGAATGAACTTGCTTAATGAGATTTCAGACTGAAGTTTATGTTCAAGTATAAACTAGATGAAAATCAGGAATGGTTATGAGAAAACAGCATTTTTAATGGGATTTTATAGTTGATGCTTATTTTCATTATGTTTCAAAAGCTACAACTAATGTAAATGTTATTCCCGAGTTTTCTGATTTATTGTGTGAAATTATATGTTATACTTCTTTTATCTATTTGCTGAGAAACAGTTGTAGAAGTAGGATTAATAGGCAAAGTCTTAACTGTCTTCTTCAGTAGTATGTGTAGATCCTAATTAACCCTTTGGGAACGTGTGTTCATTTAAACAGATTAACTTTAAGGAGGTTAAAGTAAAATGTGAATTTATGTCAGTTTAAGTTATGCTAAAACTTATCACAAATCAAATGACTGTCCTCAAAGGGTTAAAATGTACAAGAAATCATTTTTGTCATTTTACTTTTTTTTCTGTTTACTTTTTTCCCTCATTTTTTTCTTTAGTTTTTATACTTTCCTTCATATCATTTGTTCTGTCAGGTGTTCCCTGGCCATCGCCTTGCCCATCTCCTTCCTCTCGCCCACCTTCTCGCTACCAGTCAGGTCCCAACTCTCTTCCACCTCGGGCAGCCACCCCTACACGGCCGCCCTCCAGGCCCCCCTCGCGGCCATCCAGACCCCCGTCTCACCCCTCTGCTCATGGTTCTCCAGCTCCTGTCTCTACTATGCCTAAACGCATGTCTTCAGAAGGTACAATACCACAATTTGTTCATGTTTTTGTTTGTCTTTGTTTAACTCCTGTGTGAGTTTATAATTAGAAAAGTTTCCTCTTCATTATTTGATAACCTATAATTTCCGTGTTTTAACTTTAGTTTATTAAAACTATTTCTATTAACCTTTTGTTCATTAGAGAGAAATTTGATAAAATGCTGTGTGAAGCTATGAACTATCCTGAATTGTAAGAAGGGGGATTATCTCTGCCTGGTAATGATGCTCCTTTACAGCCCCAGCAGGTCTGCCCAGGGCCTCCCCGATACGATGATTAATGGCGAACAATGAACTCTTCACCCAGTCTTGGACTTACTGTAGAACCTATCATTTTATAGCTCCTTGGCCAAGGTATTAGTGAACCTACCTGTTGGCCGTAGGCAGGAGTGGTGATTTAGGGATATTTTTTGAGAGGGACATTCCATATAGCTGCCTTTTTGTGTCAACCCTTAGATTACAATAGTGTTTGGTTTTATGTTTGGGGAATTAAAAAAAATTAGCTTTGCAATATTTTATGATGAAAGTACTTGAATCTGGAAGAAGTTCTGGATCTAAAGTAAAATTGTTAATAAAAACCATATCTGAATTTTAATCTTCAGGGTTTTGTTTTTTATTTATTTTTGCCCTTGTAGGAAAAAAGAATATAATTCTCAGTCAATATGTGATGCTAATTTGCCATTGCTACACATCAAATATATGGATGTGTTGTAGAAAGGTCACATTTTAACTTAAATGCAGTGCATAAATTTTTTGACTGATAATGTCCTTTTGATCAAATGTTTTTTATCTGATTCGTTCATTAAAATTGCCTTTTATTAGCTTCTGTTGAGACTGATACGGTTTTCTGGTGTAAAGTGCTTCCCCGGAGAAAACTATGCTGCCTGCTTTTTAATAAATTGTTGCCCTCCAATCAGAGAGGTCGTGTGACCTTGACTACAGTGGCTAACCTTCAACAGCAGGTTGCGCTGATCTTCAAGGTGACTTCCTTACTCTGAAGTGCCTGTAATGGTGGCCACTAAACAAAAAGTTAAATTCTGTCAAAGTATTGTCAAAGGCCGTTGTTTAATTAAGTGATGTTGTTGTCATGACTATGTTGGGTAAACAGGACTCCTTAGTGAGTGTGAACGTCTATAGTGAGGTGCATGGGCTGCTTGTGGACTGACTGTTTGGGCAGAAATCACCTTCTGCATATTCGGGGATGCTGCATCTTAGGTTTCTTGTTAACTAATTGGAATTAAAAAATGTTTTCTAATCATGTAGGTAGGTGACAGTGAAGCATTTTTAAGTGTAAACTTCAAAATTAAAGCTATTAAATATAGTGGTTTTCTGTGCTTAATAGAGGGGAGTATATTTTGTTTCTCTAAGTATTTGATATATTACCAAAAAGAATGAGTTTTTTTTTAAGTTGCAGTTTGATTTCATTGAGGCATGCCAACCTACTTTAGCAGTCTTTTTCTAAGAGATATAAAAAAATATGTAAAAATATGCAAATACCCAATTCTTAAATCATTCTTTGATAGAAGTCAATTATGTCTCCCGTTGAAAACTATAATATGTAAGATTAACATCCTTTTTAAGATTGTATCCATGATTAAATTCCTGCCGAGGACACAAACTCATCTGACATTATGCAAAGGTTGGCAGCAGGTGAGGTGAGGAGCCTGCGCTTTGACATGAAGGAGTTTTGCCAAGTGTTGGCACTGTCTGGCTTCTCTGATGAGAGCTGTTCTGTCCAGTTTTTACCTGTTTTGTTTGAAAGTACAGTAGACTTCTTTAGAAATAAAGTTAAGGGGGTGACAGAATTAATTATGTAGAATTTTGATAATTCATATCGTGCAAATTTCTTCCCCAAATGTCAATTATTCTGGTTTTAAAAGTCATGCCTTAACAGTAGGATTTTCAGCTCATAGCCTGTTGAATGAGGAACTGCTTACTGGTGAGAACTGATTAAGGCATGGGTTGTAAAATTGATTACCATGGCAGAAGAGGTAGAGAAATTTAAGGAGGGTATGTACATATATATTAATAATACAAAGATATATAGGGATTCCTAGTTTTTAAAAAAATATTTTTATAATTTTAGAAATAATATAGAAAATTTGAGGGGAAAGCTAAAAGTATATATGATAAAATAAAAATTATAGCATCATGTAGCCATAACTTCTGTTAGCATTTTATATGTATATTTAAATGCTTATAAAGAATGGATATAGGTTAAATTGCTAAAATCTTTGAAGAGTTATGACATCTTATTGTGTGATTTCTTACCATCAACTTCATCCCTCCCTTTCTTTAAAAATAAAGAGAAATAAAATAAAATTTATTTATAAAACTTTATAACATTCTACAAAATAATCCTGAAAGAATACGGCCAAAAATATATATGCGGCCGCCCCCCCCCCCAAACCAAGGAAAAGAGAGAAAGAATCAGATGTGTGTGAATGGGGTGTTGTATGTATTTAGCAGAAAAGTTGTACTGATGGACATTGTGGCATTTATGTGATGTTCGCTCTTCCTTTCTTAGGGCCTCCAAGGATGTCCCCAAAGGCCCAGCGACACCCTCGAAATCACAGAGTTTCTGCTGGAAGGGGTTCCATTTCCAGTGGACTAGAATTTGTATCCCATACTCCACCGAGTGAAGCAGTGGCTCCTCCCACAGCAAGGACCAGTCCAGCGGGGGGCACGTGGTCATCTGTGGTCAGCGGGGGTAGGTAACACGTGGATTAGAGCATGATGACAGTGTTCATTTTGTAATTCTAAATGTAAAAAGGGCTGAGCTCAAGCTGTTTGAGGAAGTATATGTGTATATATTAAAAATGAAGTAACCAGGAATTGGAAAATATATATATTCTGGGCTCTACAACTTACTCTCATCATATGTTAGAGCAAATCTGTGATCGTTCTGAATTTCAGTGTCTCAGTGAGTAAAATTTTTGCCTAGTCTATTTATGGACTTTTGATGAGATTCATATGCTACTTATAAGTATGAATATACTTTTTATATATAAAGTACTGAAATATAAGTTAAGTACAGAATGTAATGCCGTTTGGAGGGACCATATTTCCTATCCTCTTAGTAGCTTGATTCATTCCACATACATTTATTTTGGGCTCACAGTGCTATGTGTTTCTATGGCATCTGTATATGGCACTAACTACTGACTATACTTCCCTTACACGGAATATCAAACACACGAGAGGCCCAAGATTTATCTGTGACTAGCCTAAGGAATGTGCTGACAGCAGCTATGTATAAAAAGTACACACACTTTGCCCTAGCTGGTTTGGCTCAGCGGATAGAGCGTCGGCCTGCGGACTCAAGGGTCCCAGGTTCAATTCCGGTCAAGGGCATGTACCTTGGTTGCAGGCACATCCCCAGTGGGGTGTGTGCAGGAGGCAGCTGATCGATGTTTCTCTCTCATCGATGTTTCTAACTCTCTATCCCTCTCCCTTCCTCTCTGTAAAAATCAATAAAATATATATTAAAAAAAAAAAAAGTACACACACTTTGACTCGATCTTATAATTAAACTAAGACTGCTTTTTCTACTTATGTTTTGCTTTCATGATAACTATAGAGAGGGCATGCAGTGATTGCGTATTTTGGTCACAATCTTATTTTAATCAGTGCATCGAACCTTTAAAAGAAAAAATACCTTTAAGCTTAACAAACAAAAATATACCCAACTCTGTTAAATGTCTTTAGTTGATATACACTGCTCAGCTTCATGAATGTGTAATTATATTGTAAATTCCTTTGCACTTTCTATTTTTTTCTTTGGTCTCCAATTATAAGTAAATAACAATTCAGTTAACAAAATAGAATTTCTAAAAATCTGTATTTCTCCATTTCTACCATTAATCATGTGACATATTCAGATGATCTGGAAATGAATTTTGAGAGTAAAGCATGATTACAGGAGTGAAAGAGTGAAAACATATTTGTTATAAATACATATAGGACAGTATAACAAGTTTGTTCTTTATAATAATTTAAAAAATTGCAAATGTTGAATAATAATTTCCCTCCATGACCCTTGTGACTTAAAGTAATGAACCTCTAATGTAAAGCAAATTGAACCATTTTCTCTATACCTTTGAATCTGAGCTCTACAAATGTGTTTATAATAGAATATGAAACCTAATTAGATACTAATTAGATACCTAATTTTGAGGCTGTGCATATGAACCCTTGCTTGGGTTATCTTCCCCTCCTGGCTAAATTGAATCCCCGATTTCCTTAGTTACTGCAGAATGGATCTTGATGTGGCAAGAGAGAACATATAGGATTGGTTGCAAGCTGCTAAAAGGTGTTTGAGTTTGTTATTGGAAGGAGAAATATATAAGCCTGCTTCTTAGGGATCCACACACACACACACACACACACATACCTTTAAAAAAAATTTCTATTGATTTCAGAGAGGAAGGGAGAGAGAGAAAAACATCATGGATGAGAGAGAATCATCGATTGGCTGCCTCCTGCACACCCCATAATGGGGACTGAGCCTGCAACCAGGGCATGTGCCCTGACTGGGAATTGAACTGTGACCTCCTGGTTCATAGATGGATGCTCACAACTGAGCCACACCAGCCAGGCTACACACTTTTTTTTTTTTTTTTTAAAGAAACTGTCTCACTTTTTAGTAGAGAATATTGCTATCTTTATTTTTTAAAGTGACATTTATCTTACCTTAGAAATCCAGTTTCTAACTTCATTTAAAATATTGCCTTTAGACTTAATATATTTAGTTAGAAGAAAAAACTACAGTTGTACTTAGTTATTAGTATATTCTCAATCATTACCATTTTTACTAAGACTTTGGAAAAGAAAAATGGTGATGGGATAGGGCAGTGGTCGGCAAACTGCGGCCCCTTGAGTGTGGCTCTTCCACAAAATACCACGTGCGGGCGTGCACGTACAGTGCGATTGAAACTTCGTGGCCACACGGAAGGGGCCAAAGGGCCGTATGTGGCTCGCGAGCCACAGTTTGCCGACCACTGGGATAGGGTAATTGGGAATGGGGGTCAGATAGGACTATTTTTACCTAGATCTTAAGCTCTTTGACGAGGTGACATTTGAGCTGAGAATGTAATGGATAAGTTTTCTTTTTCTTCTAGTTCCAAGATTATCCCCCAAAACTCACAGACCCAGGTCTCCCAGACAGAACAGTATTGGAAATACTCCTAGTGGACCAGTTCTTGCTTCTCCCCAAGCTGGTATTATTCCCACGGAAGCTGTTGCTATGCCTGTTCCAGCTGCATCTCCCACGCCTGCCAGTCCTGCATCTAACAGAGCTGTCACCCCGTCTATTGAGGGTATGTAAGAAAGGACAGGACTTCCAATCCGTCCTGTTGTCTGCAGAGTGCAGCGTTACAGGTTGAACATTATACAAAAAATGGTATGCTTTATTCAAAGATAGGTATTTGTGTGTACATTTAAAGTTTCATGTAAATGAAGTTAGCTGTTTAAGTAATACTGCTAATTTTATATGTTATTGTTGACTGTTTTTTGTTAAGAGAGTTAACATTCTTGAGTAGTAAATATTAACATAAAATTATTGATGTTTCATATGTCTACAAAGGAGAAAAGCCTCTTTAAATGGAAATACTATTTTCCAAAAAAGTAGGAGACAAAATTTTTTGAATATTTTCCCATTTTACTTTTCTAACATTTACCTAACTTTGAATTTTTTAAAAAATTATTTTCTAGCTAAGGATTCCAGGCTTCAAGATCAGAGGCAGAACTCTCCTGCAGGGAATAAGGAAAACATGAAGCCCAATGAGACATCACCCAGCTTCTCAAAAGTTGAAAATAAAGGTGAGAGCTTTAAAAAATCTTTAGGGAAAACTGTAGAAATAGAAAGGAGTATGTCTAATCTCATGCCCAATATAGAGTATTTTTGTACAACACTTTTTCTTAGTATTGTGCATATTTAAATGCATAATGTGACAAATGCTAAAGCCTATAATTAATGTATTAAAATTTTTATTATTTTGATAATAACTTATTTTCATTCAAAAAATATATTTACTGATTTCAGAGAGGAAGGGAGAGGGAGAGAGTGATAGAAATAGCAATGAAGAATTAACTGACCAGCTGCCTCCTGCACACCCCTGCTGGGGATCCAGCCCACAACCCAGGCATGTGCCCTGACCAGGAATCGAGCCGTGACCTCCTGGTTCATAGGTCCACGCTCAACCATTAAGCCACACCAACCGGGCAAATTTATTTTAATTTCTAACATCCTATCCTAAAAGAATTTAAGTTAAAGATTAGAAATAAATCTGTAATCGTTACTAATTTTACAGGTATATCACCAGTTGTTTCCGAGCATAGAAAACAGATTGATGACTTAAAGAAATTTAAGAATGATTTTAGGGTAAGTGTTGCATTAGAATCTTAAAAAATAAATGTTAAACATTACTAAGAATTTTTATGTTATCTGTTTATAAAAATGGATTATATATACAACCACAAACATCGAACTGTGCATAAAAAGCTAAACATTCTAAAGTTGTCTTTGCCTATGCTTTAGGGTAGCTAAAATCATGAGATTTTATAAGAACAATATAGATATGAAAGGGAATATAATTTGTAACATTCGAAGCTACCATAAGTTATTATTTGGTGTTCATTTGATTACTTGATTCACTGAAGAGCAGAGAAAGACCAAGGTGTTCATTATCTGATGTGATGTCAGATACCCTGCACTCTGGGGTGGTGATGTAGTTGCAGATTTACATTTTGTGCACAGATTCATTGTGGTAGCAATCTTTGATGGACTTGCTGAACATACTGTAATCTCACCCGGATAACTGTTTCATTCTTTTGTTCAATATTTACTAATACACTGTGCATATTAAGGTATATTTTGAGACCAACTCAAGAAATCACCCTGAAACTTAGCTTCTCAGTGGGAAAAAAATCTGATCATCAGCCTTTCCCTCACTAAAGTCCTCCTGTGAACTATTCCTCAGCTGCACTCTCCTGTCAGAGGGAAGAGTATTTTTCCTGGACTCTTCTTTTTTTTTTTTTATTTAATGCCATAACTTTTTATTTCTTTTGCATTATGTATGAGTTCTCCAAACAGGATTTCTAGGTTAGGTTCCTATACACTTCTTTTCACTGCATATGAATAGATCTCTAAGCAACAGATACTATTTTTCATAATCTTCATTTTGTTAGCAATAGATATTCTTGCCCATTTGCTTTTGTTTCCTCCACATTATTTTTTACAGTCAGTCATTCAGTTCCTTCTTAGAGTACACTGCTTTGAGTTTATTAGGCTTTGAAGGAAAGAAATATTTTTGCTTTGAAGCATATAAGTTGGTATATTTTTGTAACAGTTTTATTGAGGTAAAATTGACATACAGTTTAGCCATTTTAAAGAGTATAATTCAGTGGTTTTTAGTTTATTCACAGAGTTGTACAACCATCATAACATTCAATTTTAGAAGTTTCGTCATCCCAAAAAGAAGCCTCATACCTCTTAGCAGTCACTCCTCATTTGCTATCAAATACCGCTGTCCCCACAAGTCTTAAACAACTACTAATCTGTTTTTTGTCTCTATAGATTCCCCTATTCTGGACATTTTATATGAATGGAATCATACAGTATGTGGCCTTTTGTGACTGCCTTATTTCATTTAGCATAATGTTTTCAAGGTTCATTTATGTTGGAGTATCTATCAATACTTCATTCCTTTTTACAGTCTGTCCATTACAGTGGATAGACTATGTTGTTGATCCATTCATTCATTGAGGTGTCGTTGGGCTGCTACCACTTTTTTACTATGAGTGATGCTGCTGTGAACATTAGTGTACAGTTTTAGGGTGGACATATATTTTTATTTCTCTTGGGAGTGGAATTTCTGGGTCATACGGTAACTCTGTTTTTAACCTTTTGAGGAAAACTTCAGGCTGTTTGCCAAAGCAACTGTACTATTTTACATTTCCACCAGCAGCATATGTCACAGTCATAAAGATTTGCTCTCTTTTTATTTTTTTAAAATATATTTTTATTGAGTTCAGACAGGAATGGAGAAGGAGAGAAAGATAGAAACATCAATGATAAGAGAGAATCATTGATCGGCTGCCTCCTGCACGCCCCCTATTGGGGATTGAGCCTGCAACCCAGCATGTGCCCTGACCATAATTGAATCCGGGACCCTTCAGTCCCCAGGCTGACGCTCTGTCCACTGAACCAAACCGGCTAGGGCTGCTCTCATTACTCTTAAGAGCTGTGATTATTTTAAGTAAATTTTTTTGTTTTGTTTGGGTATTCTTTTGTTAAAAGTATATTTTATTTTTTTATTATTTTCTTGTTGTTAATCCTCACCCTAGGATACTTTCTCCATTGACTTCCAGAGAGAGTGGAAGGGAGGGGGAGAGACAGAGTGAGAGAAACATTGATGTGAGAGAGGCACACCAATTGGTTGCTTCTCACACGCATCCTACCGGGGATCTACAACCAAGGTACAAGTCACACCCAAGACCCTTCAGTCCGCAGGCCGACGATACAACCACTGAGCCAAACCAGCCAGGGCTTGAGTAATTTTTTTTATGTTGTGTGAAGTAGGGCTCCAAATTCATTCTTTTGCATGTTGATATGACTTGTCCCAGCACCATCTGTTGAAAAGACATTTCATTGAATTGTACCCCTGTTGAAAATCTATTGACTGCAATTATGAAGGTTTGTTACTGGACTCCGTTCTCCACCATAGAGCTATGTCTATCTTTTATGCCAGTACCACACTGTCTCTGTAATATCTTCATTTAATAGGAAACATTTTGTTATCAATTCACAACTTTCTGTAAATCTTTTTTAATACTTGACTCCTAAATTCCAGGTAGATAATAGCATTAAAACTCTATCTCTTTAGGATTTTTAGTTCTATTACTGTTTGGGGCCTGAGTAATCAAATTCATTAATAATTCTATTCAGATAAAATGTTATTAGCTTTACCTTTTTATTGAGTATTTCTTATGTATCAGACACTGCTCTAGTGTTTATATGATAAACTTTTTATTGTCCTATTATCCCTTTGAAGTACATTTTATTATTACCCTATGTATACATAGGAAACTGAGGCAAAGACAAGTTAAATAATTTCCCAGATTCTCATTGCTAGTAAAAGATAGGCCTGGCTGTCTGTGTATTTGAGATTCCATCAATGCTTTGGGCAGTAGCTAATGCATAGTAATGTACTGCGTTGTTCAGCGAATGAATCATCAGACCCACCCTCATGACATGCACGTGTCCTTGAACTATGATGGTTCACAAAATCTGGTCTTTCATTGATGGTTTTTTTTTCCTTTGAGAGCCAAAAGCAAAGGCACCTATAGTAAAAATAAGTAAGTTGGACTGCATTAAACTAAAAAGCTTTTCTGTACAGCAAAGGAAACCATCAATAAAATGAAAAGGCAACCTACTGAATGGAGAAAATATTTATAAATCTGATGAGTTAACTTCCAAAATATATAAAGTACTCCCACAAGTCAAAGAAAAAAATTAATTTTTTAAAAATTAAAACATGGACATAGGACCAAAATAGAAATTTATCCAAAGAAGACATACAGATAGATGGCTAACAGATCCATGAAAAGGTGCTCACCATCAAAACCACAATAAGTCCCAATCGGCTGGACCCCAGCAGCGCCTGCCCCCTGGTGGTCAGTGCACGTCATTGTGAGTGGTTGAGCTGTCTTAGCATATCATTAGCATGTTACGCTTTGATTGGTTGAACAGACGACCGGACACTTAGCATATTAGGCTTTATTATATAGGATGGATGGACCTTGAGGGCATTGTGACAAGTGAAATAAGACAGAGAGAGACAAATACCATCTGATCTTACTTATATGTGGAATTTTTAAAATAACAAAGCCCAAACTCATAGATAGGGATTGGTGGTTGCCAAAGGCAGGGGTCCTTCAAATTGGTGAAAGTGGTCTAAAGGTACAAACTTCTGGTTATAAAATAAATAAATCATGGAGGTGCAATGTACTGCACCGTGACCATAGTCAGTGCTGTTGTATTGTATATTTGAAAATTGCTAGGAGAGAAGACCTTAAAAGTTTTCATAAGAAAAAAATGGTAACTGGTGATAGCTATTAACTAGACATACTGTGATTATTTCATAACACATTGGATCATTATGTTGTACATCTAAAACTAATGCAATGCTACATGTCAATTATATCTGTTTTTAAAAAGTGGTTCTATTTTAGAGGGGGGAGAATCTGTTTTCCCTTAGGTTTATTATACTGTAGATAGGATATATGCCAGAATGCCCAAAAGCATGAATTGCGCCTTAGTTTTCCCATTTGTAAGATGTCAATAATAGTATCTATATCAAATAAGGCTGTTGTAACTACAGAATGAGTTTGTAGATAGTTCAAAACAGTGTCCAGCCCATAGTGAGAACTACAGATACGTTTACCTTCATACAAACAACAGAAGTCTTACTTTTGCCTTACTCAAAGACCTTTGTAATAAACACTAGAGAAGTCTTCTCTAGTACACAGTTGGTCTGTGTCACCACTATTAAAGGCTTTTATGAACAAATGCTGGCTTAAAACTTAAATGTTTATATTTTGACTTAAGTTATTACTAAGTCCAAATAAATGTGCTATCACTTTTTCCCTCCACTCCAATGGTGATGCAGTGAAACTCGAGATGTCCTGAGATATGTAATGCCGTTTACCAGACACCCAGGGCCTCAGGAGTGAGGCTTTGACACTGGTTTGCCCATCCTGGGGCTGAGGATATAGTTTGTGTCTCTCCATCCTTGCGGCCCTTCTGCTGTGCAGGTGCCTTGGGGCTGCTGCCTGTATTTGTGCTCATTTCCACCTTGACTGCTATTTGCTGCAGTTTCCTTCTCTTTCCTTGTTATTTCCTTCAGCTGTCCATTTTCTTCTGTAGAGTATGGCATCTTCAATCGTCTTCAGGAAGGAGTAGCCTTGATTTCTTCTGTTGGGCAAACAAAAACTCCATCACTTATTTCACTAATGTCTTTTTCACTTCTGTTCTTTTTGTTGGTTGGTACTTGAGTTTTGTGGTTTCCTTCTTTACTTACGGGTTAGAAGATATAATAAAGTATATTAAGCAACATGTCTAGTCAGGTCTCCCTCAATCCACCTATTTCTGACTTTCCAAGCCACCACTTCCCAAGGCCAGACCCTGATCTTATTGCAGCCTCCATAATGGGGTCTCCATTCTCACTTATTCCCTCCAGTTCATTTCTACAAAGCTGCTATGCTCATCTTTATGAACCATAAATTCTGTTCAACACTGTAACCTGCTAAAAATTATTTAGGGACTTCTCAACGCCCTAAAAATTAAAAGCTAGAGTCCTTAACATAGCTCTCAAGTGCCTTTATCTTCCATTTCCTCTTGAGTGAAATTGTTATTTCTTGACTCACTCATGCAAAGGCACCAACTCTTGCTCCAGCCACAGGGCTCTCAGTTTCACAGTGGGCCGTCTTCTCCCATGCCCTGAATTTTGCATAGACCATTCCCTTCGGGAAACTTCCCTCCTTCCCCAAACATTTTTCACACTCTGGACTAGATGACACTTCTATTGAGAAGCCTTCTCTTTCCATAAGTTGCTTTTACCTGTGGGATCCAATAGAATTTACCACATTTTGTGACTGTCTGATCTCACCCAGATAAGAAAACCTATTTAATATTTTCTATACCCACCAGGCACAATTTCTGACACACGGTAGGCAATCAGTAAATATTTAACTTTTGAGGTTAGGACATTTGAGTGCGTAGGTGACTGTGGTTGTGGTGTATAGATATTTTGTTACTGTCTTATAATAAAGACATTACTCTTAAAGTGTGAAAAAGCCTTATTCAATTTATTTCATGCTTACAAATGATGTTAGTGTATTTGTGTTATGGAGAAAATTCATTACTAGAGTTACTTAAAATATTTAAGTATAATTATTTCCTTTATTTAGTTACAGCCAAGTTCTACTTCTGAATCTGTGGATCAACTGCTAAACAAAAATAGAGAGGGAGAAAAATCAAGAGATTTGATCAAAGACAAAATTGAACCAAATGCTAAGGATTCTTTCATTGAAAATAACAGCAGCAACTGCACCAGTGGCAGCAGCAAGCCGAGCAGCCCCAGCATTTCCCCCTCGGTCCTCTGTCACACGGAGCACAGGAGGGGTCCCGAGGTCACCTCCCAAGGAGTCCAGACGTCCAGCCCAGGATGTAAACAAGAGAAAGACGATAAAGAGGAGAAAAAAGACGCAGCTGAGTAAGTAAACGTGGCATTTAGCATGTCCTGTTAACTTTTTCTTAAGGTGTTCAGAGCTTTGCAACTCAAGAATTTATCTGGACTTTTAGACTGTTTCATACGTAGCTCTCAGATTACAAACAACTTGTCCAAACAAATGACATCTTACGTAAGTAAATTAGGTCATTGTATCCTGGACTCTTCTTCCCCATTTTTGCATCTCTTGGCAAAACAAAACAAAAAACCCTAGGCATAAATTAAGAACGCCTTTTCTGTAAATGTACAGGGAGTTGAAAACGACTGACTTTTGGACCTTTATCCCCTTGATGCTAGTTCATAGCCACCTCCTGGTTGTGTTGCCAGGAGTAAGAACTGCCTTTGCCTGCGGGAGAGAGAAGTGTCTGGTGCCCCTACTCAGTTCACATTGTCCATCAGAAACAGTGTTTTAGTTAATGGTTAGATTTGTTAAGGTTGACTTAATTTTGCACATCCAATATTTGTACTATCAATTAAATGGACTTCTATAGGCTAGCCTCAGAACCTAACTTAAGCACCATTGATTTATTTGTTCTGGGCTCCATATAACCCAGTTACAGCTGAACTTTTGGAATGCAGCTTGTTGATAAATTGGAGAGTGCTTATTCTTGATTTGAGGCAGAAAATTTTTTATACTTTTCCTCAAGGTTTGTCATGTGGGAAACACTTTGTCACATAAAAAAATAGTGCATGCTAGGGAATTGATATGTTAAGGATTGAATTTCAGGATATTTTATAAGGGCTACTACTGTCTTCAGTTAAAGTATTTATTGATTGTTTTTGAGAAAGACATTATATATTATACTCTTTATTTTTTTAAAATATATTTTATTGATTTTTTTACAGAGAGGAAGGGAGAGGGATAGAGAGTTAGAAACATCGATGAGAGAGAAGCATCGATCAGCTGCCTCTTGCACACCCCCTACTGGGGATGTGCCTGCAACCAAGGTACATGCCCTTGACCGGAATCGAACCCGGGACTCTTCAGTCCCCAGGCCGACGCTCTATCCAGTGAGCCAAACCGGCCAGGGCTATTATACTTTTTTAAAAACTTGTCCTTTTTGGGGCAGTCTCTACCAGATTAAGGAATGGTAAAAGTGTGTGTGTTTCATTTTTTAATATTTTAATTTTATTTTAACCCTCACTGGAGGGTATGTTTCTACTGATTTTTAGAGAGAGAGAGACAGAAACATCAATGTGAGAAACATCAATCGGTTGCCTCCTGTACACATCCCAGCTGGGGATCAAACCTAGGTATGTGCCCTGACCAGGAACTGTACCCACAGCCTTTTGGTGTACAAAACAATGCTCCAACCAGCTGAGCAACCCAGCCGGGGCTGTGTGTGTGTTTAATATATTTTTATTTCAGAGGAAGAGAGAGAGAGAAACAGCAAAGGTGAGAGAGAATCATTGATTGGCTGCCTCCTGCATGCCCCACACTGGGGGTTGAGCCTGCAACCCGGGCCTGTGCCTTGACCGGGAATCGACCTCCTGGTTCAGAGGTCCACACTCAACCACTGAGACATGCTGGCCAGGCATTGTGTGTGTGTGTGTGTGTGTGTGTTTTAATGAAGTGGATTGATGATCTTCTAGTGAGAATTGTTTAAATGTAATATGTGTTTAGCAATTTTTAAAAAACTGTCAGGTATAAGAGACTTTAGAGACACAAGTTCCATGCAGATTTCACTGGCATTTACATATTTGTTCTGGTTTAGGCAAGTGAGGAAATCAACATTGAATCCCAATGCAAAGGAATTCAACCCTCGTTCTTTTTCTCAGGTAAATTTATTTCCTCTTTGAAGTCATTTATCCCTTAAAAAAATAAATTTTTTTTTTATTAGTAATATTTATTTTTTCATACCTGGCATCTAAATTCAGTTACAGTATGCTAAAACAACTTTGGTTTATGTTCCCTTTTCTAATGGTCATTATGTATATGTTTGAGCCAGAGGAGAAAGATCCTTGTTTTGTCATTAGTTAGACACTGTCTGGGCTTTTTGACTCAGAATTTGAAGATGGTTGGCTAGCTACACGGTTGTGATCATTCTGCTGACTTTATAAGAAAATCGATTTTTTTTTATTTTTTATTTTTTAATTAAATCTTTATTGTTCAGATTATTACATTTGTTCCTCTTTTTTCCCCCCATAACTCCCCTCCTCTCAGTTCCCGCCTCACCCTCCGCCCTCACTCCCCACCCACTGTCCTCATCCATAGGTGCACTTGTCCAGTCTCTTCCCGCATCTCCCATTCCCCTTTCCCCCCCAAGAATAGCCAGACTCCATTCCCTTATGTCCCTGATTCTATTATAATCACCAGTTCATTCTGTACATCATATTATTTATTCACTTGATTCTTAGATTCACTTGTTGTTAGATGCATGTTTGTTGTTCA